TTGTGTGTGTATGTGTGTGTATGTGTGTGTATGTGTGTGTATGTGTGTATGTATGTGTGTGTATATGTGTGTGTGTATGTGTGTAAGTGTGTATATATGTGTGTGTATGTGTGTATGTGTGTGTATGTGTGTATGTGTGTGTATGTGTGTATGTATGTGTGTGTATATGTGTGTGTGTATGTGTGTATGTGTGTGTATGTGTATGTGTGTGTGTATGTGTGTGTATGTGTGTTTGTGTGTGTGTATGTGTGTGTGTGTGTGTGTGTGTGCTGTCATCTCCCAACTGACTCCTTCTCGAATTTGCACAAGGGAGACAATTTTTTTGCTATGAAACTGCCTGGAAAGATCTATATCGAATGACCTTTAAGGGTTGAAGGAACTTAATGAAGTGGGTTTTTTACTCTGAGACATTCTTAGGTACCCTGGGTTCCCATTAGGAAGGGGCTGTCTTGCAGTATTGCAATCCTATACAATTTCAGGGTGTGGCCTGGTGGGCTTCCCTGAACCCACCAGCATTCTCTTTCTTTTTAGAACTTCTATAGCCCTTTATGGCTATTTAATCAAACTCAGACTGTCTGAGTCAGTTTGGTTTGCTGTAATAAAACACCGGACACAGAAAGGCTTATCAAGAACAGACAATTATTTTTTTCTCATGGTTCTGAGACCAGGGTGACAGCATGGGCAGGTTCTGTGAGGGTCCTTTTCAGAACTGCACATGTTCTTGGGCTCTCACTTGGCAGAAACACAATGAAAGAGCTCTGTGCGGTTGCTTTTGTAAGGGCTTTAATACCTTTCATGAGTTCTCTCCATGACCTGATTAGTTACCCCTAAAGACTCTGCCTTCTGGTACCATCCCCTTGAGGGTGAGAATCCACTCTTTGAATCTGGGAAATTGGAGTGATGCAAATATTCAATCCATCTCACTGGGTGCCCTGATTTCCTGGGGTTTGAAAAATTTCAGGGACCTTCCTCCTTGATATAATTCCCTCTATGCCTTTTTCCCTTAAACAACAAACCAGGTCTGTCCCTTAATTCTCATAGTGAAGCTTTGTGTGGTCAGATGGACTAACAATGCAGCTGAGTAATGCTAGGAACTGTTGGTCTCAGCCTCCTTAGCCCAAGCCCCTCCAAGCAGAGCCCTGCCCTCACCTGTCTCCCAGGTGTGATGCTCAACATTTTTACCGTCTTTTCAGAAAGTGGACAGAATACGTGGGTTTGTCTTAACCTAGCCCTGTTCTTACCTCTGGAGGTCTCGAGAGAGAGGGACCAGCCAAAGCTCCCTGTAAACTCTCAGTACACATTAGCCACCCAGGAACACTCTTCATGCACATGACTCATCACTCATTGTTTTGTGTCTCTGTGTTTTGGAAGAAGATCTTTACCATTTTTTAAATTAAAATTCCCTGTCAGTATTTTTGCTTAAACTCTAAACTCCTTCATAGAGGAATTTGAGCCTCCTTCTTGGAAGAAAGAATTGTCAGCAGCTTTCAAATGTCAGGGGCATGCTTCTGGCTGTCGAGATTTCAAACCGTGTGTGCAGGAGGTGCAGCTGGAGGAGCCAGAGCACATCAACTATCCCTTCACTTCCCAGTCCCCGCAGCTACAGCATTTTGCATTAGCGTGGGACCGTCTTAAAACCGAGGAACCGATGTTGAGACGATGATTGACTGAAATCTGAGATTAGCAGGATTTCATTCTTTGTGCCGTACAGCTCACTGGGTTTTGATAAATGAAATGCATATTGTGTTCCTCCACCCTTACAGTGTCACATAGAATCATTTCACCACCCTGAAGTCCTCTGAACATCCCTTTTTCCCAGCCCAGAATCCCTGATAACCATTCATTTTGGGGGGAGAGAGGTGCTGGGGATTGAACTCAGAGGCACTCAACCACTGAGCCTCCTTCCCAACCCTGTTTTGTATTTTATTTAGAGACAAGGTCTCACTGAGTTGC